CCATGCCCTTCAAAAAGGCTTACCTTTGGGGACATCAACCATTCGTTTGCTACTACACTCCTTTGAAACAAAACTCCACAACCTCAAGGAGCGAGGGTTAGAAATGCAGGAGACACCCCAAGCCATCCAGAGAGAAACCCCCAAATGATTGATTCACCCCCCAATTGATAAACCCACTGATTGTTTCACCCACATCACCCACAATCCGTTGCCAACCCTAAATATGACTAGGTCCTCCAGCAGAGAGGTTAAAACAAGGGTACCTTTTTTTCCGCAGTCTATTTTAGTAGGGGAACCCTCCCCAAAAAGGGTAATTAAACGGGCACTACTGGGGAACCTAGATGACTCAACATGCCAAATTTGCTGGTATCTGCGTTGGCACCTTCCCCACTTGGCTATACTTGGCTTCAAAAGGAACTCCCTGAAAACTGATACCCAATCCACAATCCCGTCAATCCCAGCCAAAGAAACAGGGGTCCCAACTGGGTACATCATTTCGGTGGGGACTTCTTTCCACCAGCCTCTTTTGAGGGTTCCTGCTTCACCCCCATGGCCAAACTAGGGACCCCCTCCAAAAAAGGAGTGGCTTCCTATTGGTACCCTTTCAAAGGTTGGTTTCAAGGGGAACCAACAAGAAAACCGCTTTTCGTGGCCTTCCACGCCCAAAAGAAGCCCTAACTTTTTTCTTTGTACCACTCAAATGGTCCAAGCCCAAAAAGTTTCAAGCCCGAAACAGAACTCAGGAAGTGAGGGGGCCATACCTAGAACTTATTTAATAAAGAACATTGTTCCCTTTTGACATTGTTGGGGGTTTTGACATTGTTTCTTTTTGAAATGTTCCCTGTGGGGCAATCAAATCAAAATGCCCATTTGGCTGTGGGTCAAAACTAAAACGGAACCCTGGTAAATAGAACCAATGGCTAAACAAAAAGCGGTCCGATTTCTGGTGGTTTAATCTTGACCCATACCCATAATGTCCCCAAGCATGTTCCTTAAACAAGCAACAACAAGCAAACATCTACATATATATATAGATATACATTTATTAACACAAAAAAGGGGGAAAACGTGATGAGGGAAAGCAACAAGCACGTTCCTGTTCCTTTTTTCGCGAGCCCCAGCCCAGATTTCTCGCCCGGTCCGGGCGGCGTGTAGCTGGGGGTCGCCGCGTTGGAGAGCAGCGCCAGGCGGAAGCCCCGGCGCCGGAGCTCCGCGAGCAGCGGCGCCGCCTCCGCGCGCACGGACCTGGAAAGCCGTGAGTGGGGTGGGTCAGAAGCAAAACCTGGTTGCTTTCTGCTCCCCTGCTAAGTGAATATTTTTTAGTGGTTTAATGGAAAACCCGTGAGTTGGCAAAAAGTTAAAGTCCCAACAGCCAAGCAAAATGCACCAAAGAAAACCTGGGCCTCTCCCACCGACTAACGTGGAATTGCACAGAGCCCCGTGGAAATAAATTACATTCCTCATGGAAAGATTACTTTGTGCACTTCCATGTTAGTTGTTGGGAGGGTACGCCCACAATGTAAAGAAACAGGTGCTGATGGTACACCAGTGTGAGTCAGGGTGTGCCCGCCCCCAATGCAAGTCAGGTTTAGGTGAATGGTGTACCCTTAGAATGAAAAGAACCAGGTAAAGATTACTCGATACTGGTTTAAAAAGAACCATGTAAAAGAACCTGGTATTCAAACCTTGCACCCAAACCCATGCAAAGAACTACGCAGGCGGCCACCGAAATCTGGTTGGGACTGTTCCTTACTACGCTTCAATTGCCCGGGTTTTGAGTATGGCTCAGGTGGGGTGAGACCGGGGGGGAAGTCCCTTTGGGGGCATAACGTGGCGGATGGTTGCGAAACCCATTTCGCACCAAAGAAACCATGATGGAAAGGGTTTGTTGGCATTTCACTGTGGAATCGAATCGTTCTAGGGTTTCTTAGGTGGTGCGAAATGGATGTCGTCCATCACTCACTGTTCGAAGTATGATGGCGATTTCGTCCAAGATGGGCGGCCCATGCTTGTTTGCTTTTCACCCCGCAGCAAGAAGGTTTTCACTTTTTGTGGGTGCAATGGAACATCCACTGTTTCAGCCAAAAGTCACAAGTCCAAAGATCCAACTAACAATACTCAACTACCCAACGAGTTGTTTAAGTTTCAAGGATCCGTTCCCTAATAGCCATAAAGCAAACAAGTGACCCATGGCGTCTTTGGCCATTGGTTTCCGCCACATGGCTCCATGGATCACTTGACCCACCTTCTGAACTAAGGGGCTCTTGTGCCGCATCCTGCGCCAGTATGTCCTGCAGCTTTCGCCGCGTCTCCTCGGTGTCCGGCAGCCTAAGGACGGGTTTGCTGCTTTGGCCGCTGTCAGTTGGGGGTTTTGGCATGGGCACTTTGGGGAGGGGGAAGTGTCGGGCCAAATCGCGTGGGGAATCCGGGCGCCGGGAATTGGGGGGCTTCAAACCGGCTGGCAAACGGAATGGACATAGCATGGAGCAGATGCAAAATCAAGCATACAAATAAAGCGTATTTTGTGTGTGTGTGTAAGGGTTGCATCAAACAACCACTCCCAACTTGAACTATCATCTCATGGGCTGCTTTGACTTCAGGAGCCCTAGGGGCTGGGAATTTCTTTTGCAAAGATGGGACTGGCATCGCGCTTTTTTCCACCTGCTCCAAGGACGACAAGGCCCCACCGAGCAATGGCTGTGGAAAACTGCCCTTTATGCCATCCTGGAAGCGCATCACAGGAAGCAGCAAGCAAACAAACCCCTTTTTCCAGAAGAATGCGCAAAACTCACTTGAACACTCTCGATCTTTGGAAACTCCGTCCAATGTGTCAAAGGGTCGATCTGCTTTGGACAACTGATTTGCCGCATTCCACATGCCGGCTCGCTCGCGGTCTCGAGCCCGTGACCGAGACTCTTCCATCCTTCGATCAGGCACCAAAGTCCTCCAGCAAGTCGGTGAACTTCTGAAGAAATTCCACTTTCTTGTCCTGGCTCACGGAAGCTTCCACGTGCTTTTTTGCCCCCAGCTTGAAGAAATGAGAACATATGTCCAGTACTAGTGGATTCCCCTGAAACCAACTAGGGGATATAAAGCACATTCATTTCAGCAAATGGAGGGAAGAGGCCTGCAAGTGAGAACCTGCTTGTCGGAAATGGACAGCCTCAAGGCTTTCCAGACCGAAAGGTGACCACTCGCCGCATGTCGAAGGGGAAGGAGGGGCCCGGCCCCCGAAAAACAAAAGAAACGCATCTCGCCGGCCCAAGGAAGTGGAGCCGCAACGTCGGGGAATTCCCGGGAAAAGTTGGAGGCAGAACCCGGGGAAACCCGGCACCAAGATATCAGAAATGCACGAGCAAAGTGAGACACCTTTTCCCATTTGGTTAAGGCCCAAGGAGGGGGAGGAGAAAAAAAAGAAGTATAGTGATGCATTCCTTTTAAAGCCAACAAGCAACAAGGGAAAATAACACATCTTCTTAAGCAAATGGAGGAAACAGAGGGGAGAACAAATCGAACTCGCAACAAACACAACATCCGCCAGTCTTCCAGGCTGGCAGGGGCAAGGCAGAAGCTTTTGCAGGGGCCCGCATGTTCTCAAAGAAGGGGTGCCTTGGGTTAGATAAGGGATGCCAACGACAAGCCCCGGCGCATTCCCTGTTGACAATTGAGCTGGCCCCCAAAAGAGACACAAAGGAGACATACGGGGAAATATAAGAATCGATTTGTTTAAAGAAAAGTTCCCCCAAAAAAAAAGAAAGTAGTGAACCTCAATATGTAACAATTTACACTATCCTGCAAACCTCACCGCAAAAAGTGGTGAACCCTGCAAGCCGGGGTTGGACACAGTGGGCCGAGAGCAACCGCTCAGTCCTTGGGAACTCCGTAGCTCCTGAACCAACGTGGCGGGCAGTGCGCAATGGTACACACAAATTGGGCCAAAGGGAAAACCAAAGTGAAGCCAAGGCAAGCCAAAGGGAAACCAAGATGAACCACCCAGATTTTTCATGGTGGACCAACCCCCTCTGGGGGGCTCCTCCCCCCAAAAACAAATAGAAGCTAATAAGGCCTAGTAGGTCCAGCTCTTGGTAGTTCCTAAACCCCCCCAAAAAATAGAGGGTCCAAGGGAAGTTCAAACCTGCCGCGGCCTTGGCCCCCCACATTAAAGAATCACAAAGCGCATCAAACGGGACCTGACAAGGCGAGACAAACAACTTACCGTCCCCCTCCTAGCCTTCAACTACTCTAGGGGTATCTTCCATTTCCATTCTTTCCATTTCAGGAAACCATCAAACACCCAGGGGGAACAGATCCGGTTTTTGAGAAGAACGATGGTTGAAAAGAATGGGGAAACAACCCCTAGGCCTACACCAATCCCCCTAACCCCAAATTAACATGTGCCTTGCACGAGATGCAGCTGAGAATCTGTGCTAAAAAGACACACAGACACACACAAACAAACAAAAATGGGGCGAAATGAGGGGCGGGGGGGGGGGGGATTCCTGGTTTAGACACATGCAAACAAACTGCAAAACCGCGGCTCAGCCCGAATTCAGGAATTGCCGCCCAAAACGGGGGCTCACTACAAGCGAGAGGGAATAAACCAGTGAAATCAAGCCTAGTCCTAGTGCTGATCTGCTAGTTCCCAAGTGGGGTTCATTTTGGCTTCCTGGGATGCTCTTTGTTGAGGCTGGCATCCCCTAAATTCACTTTAGGTTCCAAAGCCCACCGGGCGCCCCTGAAAAAAGCGGAAAGTGCCTCAAAAAAGCGGGTTCCCCAAACTCCAAACAAAGGAGTGGGGTTCCCCCACTCCAAAAAACAAAGATGCCCGGCACTTACTTGTCCGGCTCCGCAGCGAGAAAACCAGCCGGGAGTTCGCTCATGCAACCCAATGGTTTTTTTTTACTGAAAGGTGTGCCACTGATGCGTGACACATGTGCAAGCTGGAAGCTATTTGTTGGAGTTCCCCCCATATTGCCCCCCAAATCACGCCAAACAAACCCTCACAGCTCAAGAGCTGTTTAACACCCTCGAGGAATTCTTGGCACCCAAGAAATCACACCCACACACACACCCTTCAAAACGCCGCCCCAGACTCCCGCGGCGCTTGCGCGGTGCGCCTCCGCACCAGCTCATGGAACTTGAGAGCATCCAGGCTCTTGTCCCGGTCCCCCCGATGTGGCGGCTCCACCACCACCACATCCGAGCTGGACGCCCCCTTGCGCCCGACTGCGCCGAGCTCGGCCCGACTGGGGGAGGTCCGGAGGTCCGCGTTGCCAGCACCCATTCAACAATTGGCTAGCCGCCGAACGCGTTGTTTCCAGCCATTCCTTTCTCGAAAGGGGAAAAAACTGTTCATTTCAGGTTATAGCCAGGAACAATGCGATAGAGAAAGATGATGATGGAAAATAGTATGACAGAAACAAGGCCTTGTTTCATAATTGTGTTTCTCGTCCATCCATGTCTGCTTTATTTGTTTGAGTGGAAGAAATAAGTGCACTTATGGCGTGATATCCTACGAGTTAGGCCGTGAAGACATCTTGACCGAGCCCCAGGCTTCTAGCTCTCATTTTTCTCTTCATTCAGAAATCCACTGACCAGAATATATTGAGAGCGAGAGCAGAGGAGTGAGAAACCCTTTGAAGATAATCAAGCCTCCGCATTCATGTCAACAATGCGGCATCTGGAAATGACATGATGAAGATAGGAAGTGAACCAAAGCCTACTCATGGTATCGTTGTTCATCTACTCCTTTGTTGTCTATTCCTTTCAGCTCATGTCCATCTCCTTTTGCTTTTGGATGGTCTCTCCGTCAGAGGATCCGTTCGTGACAGAATGGAAGGGATGGACACCTCCGCCTGCAAGTTCCCCTTCGGGTACATTAAACATGTGGCCTACATACCTGCAGTGACCAATCCCTTCGTTCCCCTTCGGGTACCTTAAAAAGATACCTGGACAAACGCATAAACATGACAAATCCCTTTTGCTCCGCCTGGCACGTTAAAACCTACGGGCTATGTAGCCCCCAGCAGGGCAGAAATGTGAAGGTGTCACTGCTGGAGGATCCCCATGATGGCTTCGGTTTTCCTTTTGGCTTGCCTTTAAACCGACACCGATAGGGGCTACAGAAACCTAGCACAAAACAAAACAAAGGGATCCTAGAGACCGCGATTCGAGGAAATCACAAGGGTTCTGGGAACGAACCTTTCACCACAGGGATCGGATGGTTCAGTTTGGGTGGTTCCATCTCATTCCCCGCCGGGGAATTGCCAGTGTTCTACCCATTTGGTTCCACGACAGTATCTATGTTGGAAGGATTCCGTCTGGGGGTCCCTCTGCAAAAAGTTGTTCACTTTATTTGTGGGTTCGACGGAAAACCCAAGCTGTTTCAATGGAAACGCTAAAGTCCAAAGACCCAACCAAACAACCATAACCTCCATTTGCTTTAGCAGCCTGGACAAACATAAGAATATATATATATATATAATTATATCCAGCAGTGCAGGATTTCATTTAAACCTTTAACAAGGGGAACCTAAACCATATCTTAACCAAATGAAATACATTCAGAGCCAAAGACACTTCAGGTTGGAAGGCTGGCAGACCTGTCAGCTTCAGCCCGCATTTCGCCTGGTAGCAGGTGTCCGAAGGGCTGGCGTAGATGGGGCCCTCGAAAAGCTCGGGCTCCTAACCCGAGAACGCGTGTTCGACCTCACTGCAAGTGTGGTACTTACCAGGGTGTGAAACAAAGGAGAGGTATGCAGTTGCGGCACATGCAACGCGTGCACTGTTGCCTGCGAGTGCCGCAGCAAGTCCCTGTCCTCACGCCCGCCCCCAAGTTGGTTCCAATACACTAGAAGGATACACTCCCACCAAGGCTATTGTCATTTTTTAAAGGGATCCCCTGTCCGGGTCCGGTGCCATGTTCATTGGTGGGAAGGCCTAAAAACCACCAGTCTCGGTTGCGGTAACGCCCCCTCATGACCGCTCTGCAAAAAGTTATTTGCTTTTTGTTTTGTGGGTCCGATGGAAAATCTGACCTGGTTCGACCAAAAAGTTCGACCAAAAAGCTCCAATAAAAGGATATATGGAAGTATGGAGGATGATAAATATTCCCGTAAGGCCCCAGTTTTGACCATGGGCAACTTTGCCCATTTGGAGGTTGAGTCAAATCTTTTGTGGCGGTCTTTCGAATGGTCACGCCCCATGTACAGGACCTTCGATCAACCCCCACACCCAAAAAGCACCTGTAAATTAGCTAACTCTTTGGGTTACATTATTTTTACCTGGCCAACATGTATTATTAAGGGACCCTGCCGAGCCCTTGGGGCCCTCGGCAAGGGGGAGGGGGGTTGTCTGCAAAATCCCACCTACAGATTGACGAGCACCGGCACAGGTTTGGGATGGTGCCCTATCGGCTGGTCGCAACAAGTATGGGGTCAGTCCCTGAAAGTCTACTGCTGAACTGGTGGTTTGGGGGGGCTGGGGCGCGACAACCCAAATTTTCCGCGGTAATTAGGCAGTGCAAACAAGTTCCGCCAAGTACAACCCAATTGCCCCAAGTCGCTTTTGGAGAAACAAATACGTAATGTGTGTGTGTGTGTGTGTGTGTGTGTGTGTGTGTGTGTGTGTGTGTGTGTGTGTGTGTGTGTGTGTGTGTGTGTGTGTGTGTGTGTGTGTGTGTGTGTGTGTGTGTGTGTGTGTGTGTGTGTGTGTGTGTGTGTGTGTGTGTGTGTGTGTGTGTGTGTGTGTGTGTGTGTGTGTGTGTGTGTGTGTGTGTGTGTGTGTGTGTGTGTGTGTGTGTGTGTGTGTGTGTGTGTGTGTGTGTGTGTGTGTGTGTGTGTGTGTGTGTGTGTGTGTGTGTGTGTGTGTGTGTGTGTGTGTGTGTGTGTGTGTGTGTGTGTGTGTGTGTGTGTGTGTGTTGTGCGGGTCAAACAACGGGAACCACCAAAACAAGCGGTGTTGCTGTCGGATTACTTTTTAAACTGACCCAGAACAGGCACCCTCCAAAAGCAAACGCGCACACACACACACACACAGACACAGACACAGACACCGACACCGACGGCGACAGCGACAGCGACACCAACGCCTGCACGCCCGCACGCCCGCACGCCCACACGCCCACCCGCCCGCCCGCCCACCCGGACGCATCTGGGAAGTCCAGCTTCTGCGAGCCAGAGGCACTATCTATATTTATGGTTTGGACTTCCGGAAGCCCAACCTTCATCTACCCGGGCCTTCGCCCCCAGATAGGTCCCAATAGCTGCCAATAGCGACTAAGGCCTTTCGGAGGGGATGCACTGGCATGTTTTTTTGGGGGGTCCAATTCCTCTTTGGAGTCCCAACGTCCTGGCAACCACGGGAGGTTTGACTATCGCTCCTAACCTCCTTTTGTTTATAAGTGTCCTGGACGAAAATCCAGTAGTGATGGGTGCCCCTTAAAACCACCCTGGGAAATTCTACAAACACTCTTGAGCAGATCAATATTCCTGGGCCCCCAAATCATGGGTAACTTTCCCAATTTGTGGGAACTATCATCTTTTCGTTTTCCCCAGTGGTCATCCCATGTATCACAAACCTTTTGATCAAACATGCTCCTCTTCCACCACCTTGCAGGCGCAGGCTAGACATCGCGGCAGGTGCGTGGGGGAGGACACCAGCACCGCGTGGTGGCAGCCTTTTTCTCGCATGACGCCTCGGAGTGGAGCCAGCTGTTGCAAAAGAAGCGCCAAAGTTTTGGACAATTCATGATACTGGTTATGACACTGGTTCTACTAACATGGTTACACAACCATGGGTATTGCAAAAATACTGACAAGGTCGTAAAACAGGCTATGATGGGGCCTGGTGATTCTGGGCCTGGGAGAAAACGCCATGCAGCCAGGTGGTAAGACCAGCGCCGCTGGGGTTTGGGTGCTGCTCCGTTAAAACGGATGAAGCCCTATTTCACACAAACGAACGACCCATCCAGGCGGAAACTGCTGCTTTTGAAAGCGGGCCTCCTTCTTTTTGGTTTGCTTGAGTTTCAAGGGAACCCTTCAATTCCTCCAGTAAAAAGGTTAGAATAAGGGCACCCTTTTTTCTGCAGTCTATTTTAGTAGGGGAAGCCTCCCAACAAAAATTGGCAAAAGGGTACTATTGGGGGACCTAGCTTCCTAAAAAATGGCTAGCCAATATAAAGCTAGAGATTCTATTGCATCTCAATGGGGATAAATCCCTCGGAACCCACAACCCTTGGCGTGAATGAATACACCGTTTATCAACATTGGGAAATTGAGCTCCAAAGTCACCTCCGGTAAAAAAAAAAGAGGATACCTTTGTTTTGCTGTAGTCTATTAATTTTAGTGGGGGAACCTCCTCCCCCAAACCTGGAAAAAAGTGCACCAGTGGGGGACCTAGCGCGGGTGATCTGTGGCTATGGCCAGGTCACGCAGCCCTTCGCGCACCTCCTGGTCCGTGTTCTGCGTGCTCGCGTCGATGACGCTCACGGCGCGCATGAGCTCCTGAGGGTGGCGCCGTTCCCTTCGTTCGGGGGGGAGGGTCCAGTGGGAAAAAAGAACAGAGACAAACAATGAGCCGGGCCTCTTAAGTGGAGGATTTGTTGTATTTGGAAGGATTTCAGATCAAACTAGAAGGATTCATGTTGTTTCTTCCTTCTCTTTCACTAGATCCCTCAAACTCAACTATTGAGACACCTGCTCTCAAAATGAGTTGCATTTGCGTCCCGTGACTTCGACGTGAACCATGTGCGTAGGCCGCGACCTTGGTCTCAGCGCATCAGTCCAGGCCGGAAAAGGTGGGAGTTGATCCCCTGCCAAATGCATTTGTTTGATATGATTTAGTTCATTGAAATCGAGTTCATATGAAAGGTTGCCTTAAAACACTTGCCAAACTAGGTCCTCCAGTAGGGAGGTTAGAACAAGGGTACCCTTTTTCATGTAGTCTATTTTAGTAGGGGAACCCTCCCTTCCCCAAAAAAGGGGTGAGAGGTCGGGCACCAATTGCTGGGGCACCTAGCAAATAGAACTTGTATGTCCGTACCCGAACGCTGCAACTTCGAGCCTCGAGGCCATGCAGCCCAAAGAGACAAAGGTGGCAAGCTCGGCTTGCTGAATGCTCGCTCAAAGAAGCGAGATAGTACTTAGTACCCTCCCACCAATTATCGTGGAACCTGACGTTCGCGGGGTCCTGCTTTGGGCCATTTTCCTTTTAAACGGGTATTCCATGTCAATTGGTGGGAGGGTATGTGTTTCGCATGGGGCAGCAATTCAGGCAACGCAGAGTCAGCTGCAACATCCGCAAAAACCCGATGCGAGCTTGGTTGTCGAAATAGGGGAACCCGATTCTGTTCCTGGCGGTTTCCTTTCAAGTCAATGTGGGTGTGGCTCAAAATTAAACAGGAGGGGTTACGCAGGTTCAGGTTGTGGTCCATGGCTTCACTTATACCCTGGTTCCATGTTGGTACCGCTTTTTTGAGCCACAGCCCTTGGCTGGAACCAGGACCCCTGTTTTTTTGCTTTTTGCCTGGATAGTGGAAAACAAAGGGGACCCCAAAAAAGCAAAAAAGAAAACAAAAAAGGGAACTAATCCCGGGGAAGAGCCATTTAAAAAGGGTACCCTCCCCATTTCGCTTTCTCCTCCTTTGTCACCCCCAGTCCTGCGCCTTGTCCAGCGGCACACGATGCAAAGGCTCGAAGTGCGCCAGCTCGGACCACCGGTCCCACAAATACTTCAAGGTGTACCTCACAACTTCAGCTAAGGACCGGCGGACCGAGACCGAAAGGCCAGGTGAGTCAAGGTGAGTCAAAAATCAACACCCAGGAACCCGGCACTTGTACAAACATGGTGCACCCAGAACCATGCTTCAAGAACTCAGGCGGAGATCCGCAGCTATTTGTGGCTGGGATCGTCTCATACTAACCTTCATCTACCCGGGTTTTGATTGTGGCTCACAACAGGGAAGAAAACCTCGGTTTAAGGTGAGTCATGATCAAAACCTGGTATAAATTATAAACATCTAGGTCCTCCAGTAGAGAGGTTAGAATAAGGGTACCAACTTTTTTCTGTAGTCTATTTTTGTAGGGGAACCCTCCTCAAAAAAGCACTACTGGAGGACCTAGACATAGCCTAAGAACCATATAAGGAAGCAAGGCGGATATCTGCACCCATTTATGCGTGGGATTATCCCTAGCCTTCATCTGCCTGGTTTTGTGGGACGTGGCTCAGGTGCCTTTTCGTTTTCACCCGAAAAGACAAGTCTTTGTAGGTGTCGGCCCGACGTTGAAATGGAAACAGTCACCCTCCCGCCAAAAAAACGTGGTAGTTCCAGCGAGGTCTGGAGAACTACGAGACGAACCAACCGAGCAAATCCAGGAAAATGGCTCCGAGAACCCGGCTATTGTTTGGGTTGCCTCCATGATCCAATGATCCAACAACAAAAGAGGGAGAAAAATCCAAATCCAAAAACTGATCCAACAAAACAACTGATTAGATCAAGGAAAATGGCTCCCAAAATCCGGCTATTCTTGTTGGTTGTCCGTATGATCCAACAACAAAACTGTATAACTTCTAGTGGGTTAAATGGAAACTACCACTAAGCACTAAAAAGCTAAAAGGCTAAGGGGATGGCTGGGACCCACCAAGAAGAGAGGGAGAAAATACCAATTTAAAACTGATCCAACCGGCTCTCACTTGAGAGAGAAACCCGAGCCCACCCGACTCAACCCGACTCCCGACGACCAATCTCGTCGGAGTGGCTCGCTCTCCTTGAGGCCGTCCTTCTCCGAGGCCCCGGTGCCGAAGACCACCACCGTGGCGCGCTCCTCCCAGGCGAGGAGCACCGCGTGCGGCAGGCGGCCCAGCCTCGGCTGGAGGCGCCGTGCGGCGCGCATGGCGCGGAAACGGCGCATGGCACTTCGGGGGATCCGAGGCGCCGGTTGAAGCTTCAAATTGGCTTAGCCTGGGTGAGGGGTGAGGGATGAAGGGTGAGGGGGTGAGGGGTGAGATCCAAGGCTCCAAGGCTCCAAATTGGCTTACTCTGGCTTCTCACCTGAAGCAGCTGACCTGATGAAAAACAGAAGAAAAACGGGTCCTTCAAGAGGAAATTGTTTTTTTTCAGGCACCTTCCCGGTGCCTTTTGAGTAGCGTAGTAAGGCCTAGCACCTCATTTGGGCAAGCCCAGGGGGTGGGATGGGAGGGTGGGTTCTAGTATTCATGAGCAATTGAAATACTCTATGGGCACCGGAATTTATGTGAGTCCCGTTTGCTGTATTTGTGTGTCTGTGTGTCTGTGTGTTTGTGTGCTTGTTTGGTTGTCCGATTGTGTGGTTGTGTGTTTGTGCTTGCTTCTGCTGTTTTTTTGTTGTTTTGTTTGTCTTTTGTGTGTCTGTGTTTGTGCTTGTGTTTGCGTCAAGGTGCTTTTCAGGTTGGTTGAATCGGACACCCAAAAGGGACGCCACCATATCAAGAGCCCCTGTTCGACAGCTCAGCGGCTCGTGGGGCGGGCGACCCCAGACGATCTGCTCCCAGCCATCAGCGCTGAGGTGACAACCATGCACCAGGATCCCAGTGGGGACCTGTCAGGGGCCCTTGGATTGGAGCAAACATCGACTAACACCCATCTAACACCCGATTCTCATACCCAAAATATTATTTTGCTTTGAATATGAATCTCCACTATATCAAAAAATCAACCGAGCAAAAAAAAAAACCAAGTTATTGGGATTTGGGTAGTTCAAGAGCCCAAGTACAAGAGGTTGATCCAGGCTCGATCACTGGGCAATATCTTGTTGGAGTGGCGGCCAGGTAGTTGCTTTCCCCAAAAATGCATCATGTTCCATTAGTTTCAACCCTCCTTCCACCAATCCCCGCTTTTCCCTTATGTTTGATGGCTTCTCCGGGCTCTTTCCCGGGGGATCCAACAACCTGCGAAGGTAATCCTGACAAACTCGCCTTCCGTGGCTCAGGGTTCCTTTTCATGCCAAATTGAAAACCACCTTGGACAACGATATCAGGTGGGTTTAGGTGTATTCTTCAGGGGCCACTAGGCTTTGGGTGGGAAGCTGGGTACTCTGGCCATGGCCAGCGCCACCAGCTCACAATAAGCAAATTCCCGAATTTCTTCTCTAGGTCCTCCAGTGGGAGAGGTTAGAATAAGGGTACCCTTCTTTCTGTAGTCCATTTCAGTACGGGAAAAACAAAAAAAAAGCACTACAGGGGGACCTAGTTCTGGGGTGTCCACTTCCGTGAGCTGCTTTTCTGGTCTACCCCCACGTCCTGTGCGGCGCCGTGCAGCGCGTCCCCGGACCGCTTCTTCTCCGGATGCGAGGAGAGCAACGAGGCGCGCACCAAGAAGCGGCTGGTGTGGCGCAGCTTCGCCCACTCCTCCATGAAAGGCCAAGATCTCTCCCGCAAGCGCGAGCGCGCGGGCCCGGGAGTTCGGGGAGGACTTGCGGGGGGAACTGAAGGTTTTTTTTCCATGTCCATGTCGTACCTCACTGGCTTGAGACCTGCAGATCACCTGCAAATGCCCATGGTTCGGCCAAGCTTGAGCAGTGAACGGTGACGGCGAGCTGAACAACATGGGCCATGACTATCCGACGGTTCAATCGACGATGGTGCCAGCGTGACCGCAAGCAAGCCCAGCAAATGGGGAGCAGGGTTTCGGATGTTTTGGTGGCGTGTGCCTTGGTTGGGTCGGGAAGTTGCCACATCCCACCCGCGTGAGGGAACTCGAATGCTTGTTTGCTTGGGTGTTCCTTTCAATCCAGCCAAGGTTCCCCAACAAACATGATTTATTGTTCCTTTAGTTTCACTTCAAAACCCCAACCTGGGAACAAAAGCACACCCAGAAAGCACACCACAACGCGGCTTCCCCAACAAAAAGAGGAACACAACCAGCCAAAAAGAGGTTCTGAACAAAGTCAGCCAAAAATTAGAGGAACACAACAGCCAAAAAGAGGTTCTGATTGACCAAAAGCGAGCGTTTTTTTTTAGCCAATGGCAGGTTTCTTTTGGGTTTCCTTCGCACCACCTCCAAGGAGAGCGGGAAGGAGCCAGTGGGTGTGTTCTAGTTCGGGGGGTTCCCCCTTCGTAGATCTTTGCGGGGAAGCCATCAGGAAAAAAAACTTCCCCCGGCAGTAGCGATATATACCAAGATGTACACATAGATATATATGCTATTTACAAATCACATATTCCATGTTGTTTTTGTTTTGTTTTACCAGGATGTACACATAGATATATATGCTATTTACAAAAAAACACATCTTCCATGTTGTTTTTGTTTTGTTTTACCAAGATGTACACATAGATGTATGCCGTTTACAAAAAACACATCTTCCATTTTGTTTTGGGGGGGGGGGATTCTCCTTTCAGACGCCAGAGGACCATGCCGCAAAAGCCAAGTGGAGGCCATTCGCGAAGCTTGCGCCAGGCAGCTGAAGCCCCGAGACCAAGGCGTCCAAGTAGGCGGCCAGGCCCCGCATCTGTGCCGGGGGGTTCGCGGGGCTTGGGCCAACCGTGTTGACCATCAACCCATAGATCTCTGTGTGTGCTTTTGTTGTGTTGTTCTTGGATTTTTTTGGGGGGGGGCGGTTGTCCGACCCCTTCACCAACTCCTTTCTTGGCGTGCAAGGGAACTGGTTGGTTGTATTCCTGGCACAAACGTCGGCCGCAATGCGACAAAAGCAGTGTAGACGCAAAACGCCTTTGTTCAGATCTCTGCGAAATCCTGCCCTTTCGGGCAGTCTTTCACTGTCAACATCGTGCAAGCTGGCGTCTTGGCCACATATTGCCATTTGCTTGCAATGGTTCGTGTTGTACAGCCGTTCGCCGTTCCAACGAAACATCCCGCAAATCCAGCGAAGCCACAAGTAGGGGTCATTCCATTTCTCATCGTGCCTGTCGCACCAGCAAGTTCCCTAACCTTCTTTGTGGCCCGTGGCTCCCAACCGTTCATCAGGTCTCAGGCTCCGGCTGAATCCCACTTGGTGCCGCAAACGCAGGCTTCCACTTCGCCTCCGGCGGACGGTTGCCTTCGGGTTTTGCCTCACGGGTGTCCAACTTCGGTTTTGGAGCGGTGCACAGCTCACTAAATCAGTCCGTCTTGTGACCATTCTAAGCAAAGCATTCCCATTCTTTCCGGGGATCCTTCTTGCCAGGAAACCCTCAAAAATGCGGGGAAAGCAACCGGCGTGGGAAAAGAACGATGGTTGAACAGAATGGGGATACAAACCCCAGAACCATGGCATGTGTCTGCTCAAAGGCATCCATCGTCATGAGTCAACTCGCCAACCTTAAAGCCCGGTGAGCTCGCCATAACTAGAGCACATCAAACGCAATCAGGCCGTGACCCAGTGTGGTTACCCTACATGCTACCTGATGGCCCGCTCCAAGGAACATCGCGCATTTCATTCGACCCATGCGGTTTCAAATGATCCCCCAAGTCAGGACTCCTGGTATCCTGCGGGTATGTGTATATTTCTTATGATTGCATAAGCAATAGAAGGTTGCGGCTTCATCATGCACCGGGTCATCGCCTCGTTCCCCGCCCTCGCTGCGTGCCCGAGTTGCTGTATGCCTTCTCCAGCCGGAACTCTCGGATGATTTCGCGCTCCGGGTCGGAGTTGCCTCTGCGAGAGGGCGAGAGAGCGCAACTGATGTGGACGCTTTGGATAGGATGGGAACTTCTAAGACGTCCATGACAGCCTTAGATAACCTGTACTCCAGGGAGGGTCCGACCACAGCCCAAAGCCTTCAAATCGCCCCATTTTGAAGGGGTCCCCTTAAAGGAAACCAAACTTGGGATGGCTGAAAAGGGGTCATCCCAACTCATTCGCTACTGGGATTGGCCAGTCCCATGATGCCGGTGGGAAAAACTTGGTTGCTGTTGACCCCCCTGCATAAAGCGAACAACTGTTTGGTGGGTTTAGTGGAAAACACCCAACTTGATTTCAACCAAAAGGTTAAAGTCTAAAGATCCAACCCAGTAGCAGTCAAGAAAGGACCTTCACTAAAAGGCGGCAAAAAGGGGAAACCGAAAGTGCGAAACTAAAAGTCGGCTTTGGGCAAAGGAACTGACTTGGCAAACAAAAAAAGAAGCAGAACTTGAAGGCCCGACTCAGTGGCTGCCTAGGCCTTCCGTCAAGCCAAGCTGCCCTCCGTCAGTGTCTTGTACTGATCGAAAATGATGAGCTGCACGTCCCAGTCATCCATCCCGCCACTGGGTCCGCGCACGCGGAACACACCAGAGGCGAGGTGTAGCTCGGTATGGGTTGAACTGGGTTTGTATGGGGGTTGTATGCGGTTTAATGAAGGGGTCATGTGGGTTTGTATGATTATGGATGTTATTTTTGTTCGATGGTGAGTGGACACATCATTCTTGCTCGCCTGTGATGCGCTGCTTTGTGGTAAGCTAGATGGCCAACTCCTGCTCCTTTGCGATCCGTCCCCAAAAACCAGCCAGTGTTTGTTTGCGACCCTTTCCTGGACATCAAAGTATACATGAAGGATTTCTGTCTGCTTGCTCCTTTTGGGGGGTGCTTGCTGTTTGAACTCACAGCCACATCTTCTTGAGCCAGGTGCGGCTTCGCATTGCGTCGCATTGCGAACGCAGCTCCTTGAGGGGGATCTCCCATTGTCTCATTGCGAGGGCACTGGTGCCTTCAAGCAACACAAAGGTTGCAAGCACCAATTGACTTGTAAACCCGTTCGATGGGCATGGAACTGCCTTCGATGCTTGACGTACCCTGCAGTTCCAGACCCGTGACTTGCACATGAACCAGAAGCCGCCCCGCCCTGCCGCGCAATGTCCGCCAAAATGCCAGCCGCTGGGTGCATGGCATCTTTTAATCACACGTAAGCAGAACAAAAAGCCTTTGAAAGCTCGGATTGGGGCTACTCAGCCAGCTCCATGTGCGGTACATGCCCCAAAGCAAACACATTTAAGCAGTTGGAACCGGGCATCACTTCTGCACATGCAGTAGCCTAGACGACTACGAAGCGTATAGACATGAAGCTCGCCTAGTGAAGCTTCGATGCAAAAGAAGTGTCAGAGTCTGGTCCAAATCAAATACCCAGACTCTGGCATCCACTATATACACGTCATGTTGGGCATACGGCTATGTGTCGAAACAAGGGAACGCTCAAACTGTAGTTTCTTGTTGGTTTCCCGTTCATTCAACCTGGATTAATAGGCACCCATGGCACCCTCAAAAAAACATGCACCAATGGACGTCCATGACGTCGAGCATGCCCTACAGCGCCAAACAGCTGAAGGACATCACGTGAGGCCTTTCAGCTTGGGGGCCTGCTGCGATTCCAGCACCGCCTCGGTGTGCTTTTACCCGTCCCTGGGGTCGTTTCAGAGGCAATCGGACACCAGGGCCTTTCGACTTTCGAGTTGTTGAGGAAACCACTCACGTTGAGAGTTCCATATCCCATTTTGAGGCAAACGGAATGGGAAGACGGGCGAGGTAACGCATGCAAGGCGAGATCCGGCACAGAACGGTCCCAGCAGCAGAGGCCCCAAGTTTCAGGCCCCCCAACTTCGCCAATCAGGCTGGTCTTGCAAAATATTCAAAACAAGTTTTGGACTTGCTTCGTGCGAGACAGTCTAGCCCCTCCACAAAGTGGGAGACTTGGTGTGGGTTGTGGGTTTTACTCGCAATCTAGCTTCACGCTCAGTTCAAGGATTATCTACCACTAAAGTCACGCCTCAAGCGATAGGGTACTGCCAGCTACCTTCGATAACCCTCAAAATCAATGAACATCACGAGTGTACTACCAAGATAACCCCCTCCCCGAAGAGAAAAAACACCTGACCAGTAGAACCCCCCCCCCCCTCCCCCGAAACAAAAACAACACCATGACCCTGACAAGCGTTACCAAGTCTGCTCCGCATTTTGGACTACTTACATCTTCTTTAACATGGCAGGGCCTTTACTCGGGGGCGTTGTTGCAATGTCTTTGAGCTGGAGAGTCGACTTCCCGGTTTTGGTGATTGGTTGGGGAAGCTTGACTGACCTTGGCAAGTTCCGATATTCAGTTGGGCTTGTAGCTGAACCAGTGCAATTCCATGAACTGCACATGCCAGCGGTGAAGGCTGCCTGCTGGTCTTGGCCTATATGATGTTACCTGAAAGTGCTCCAGACCATTGCGGCCACCCCTTCCTGGAAGATTTGGCAGTCGTCACTTCCGATTGGCGTCAGAACTGCCTCATTGTCTCCACAGGGTGTCTTGTCAGATTCAGAGTCTCCTTGCGAGTGGTGGGACATGGCAGTGCCAGCTCTTGAAACATGACAACACGCACTAGTTGAATACGAGACTAGGCATAGTCGCAGTTCAGAGCAGCAGCAATTAACATGGGCTACACGAAGCAAGCTAGTAAGCAACATGAATCAGCAAGAGAAGCAGTGGACGCAGGCAAAGCAGTTGACGCAGTACATGCAGCAGATGCAGCAGAGATGATAGATGCAGTGTAAAAAAATCTCGGCGTAGAACAAAGCAAACGGACAAAGCAAGGTCAAAAGACCGAGAGCAAGGGCAAGAACAGCGGCCAGAGCCGGGGCAAAGGCATTCGCAGAGGCAAGAGCAAGTGAACCAGCTGCAAGCAGCGTGCGAAGAAATACGAGGAACTCCGACTTGCCAGCAGCGCTACCAAGGCATACATGCAGCAAACACCGTGGGGAGGAACAGAATCATGCCAGTGGTCGCAATGCTATAGTAGTCAAGATTGCGTCTCCCTACAACAATGAAGAGCAACTTGAGTCCAAAGCATAAATCTCCTGATTGTCTTTATCCAAGAACACAAACGTCTACTTCTAAAACGTCTACTTCTGCACCACAAGCGGGTCTTTCTGAAAGCCATATTGGCCACTTGGTATGTTCCACAGGGTTTAGGCTGGACTCGGGAGTGGTAGGTGAGAAGTTTTTGCATGCTCAAGTCTAAGTGTCATCGGAAGTGGCCGGCATGAACATCCCGGGCTATGGCGTCCTGGCCACGGTTGATCCTCAACCATAACGATTCCCATTTAGAGAGCCAAGCCAGTAGAGAGAGACGCGCCCTTTTTTTGGGGCCCCGCCGACTCTGCGGTTTGGGACTAGCCTCGCGCCTTCGACGCGGCCGAGGCGCCGTGGAGATCTCGAAGAAGAGGCTCCGCACCTTGGCGGCCCGTCGCAGGCAGGACTGCACCCGCTCCTCGCCGACCAGTTCTTCGAGTCACCAACCAGCTTTACTCATCGGCCGCGGGCCCCCCCCCAAAAAAAGAACTCAACAAAAACGGCCTTCTTTTAGAGGGTCATGTTGAGGAAAAAGGCCACCAGTTGAGTCATCGTGTTGTTGCTTGGGCGGGTGATCTTGGCAATGTTGACCATTTCTGGGTGAAATGTGGGAATCAGGCCACGGCCCCCACCCCTCTGGGGTCAACATTGGTTGGTAAGTCGCCTTGCTTTTTGTGGGACGCTTTTAGGAGTTCCCTGGTTTTTGCGAAATGCTTGTGAGTTCCCTTTGATTGATTGTTTCGTGGATATTCAGTGAGTCTCAGGGTTTTTGTGAAAAATGGTGAGCTGCGAAATGTCGTGAATGCCATAGGTATTTGTGCGATTTGTTTGTGAGTCCCAAGCTTTGTGTGAGAAGTTACTTCCCGCGCGCCCGTCCCTCTAAAAAAGAAGGTGATGATTGAGGAGAAGGTGGTGGGGAAAACGTCTGAAAGCTGTGATGCCCACTTTTGGGGCCCCTAAAACCACATTTCGGGTACATGCCAAAAAGGGGCCGATCAACATGTGCTGGCTAGGTCCTCCAATAGAGAGGATTGAATTGTAGTCTATTTTAGTAGGGGAACCCTCCCAACCCAAAAAGGGGGTTGGGAAAGAACACCAAGTTGGTTTTCATTTTTGGCTTCTCTTGGACAACCGCACCGCAACAAAAGGTACCATGCTCCTCGTTGCGGGAGCCGTACAGGGCCAGGTGGTTCTCGAAGAAGAAAACACCTCGTCGCCAAGCCGTCGGCTGCGGCTTAAGCGCGCTGGGCAGTTTCGTAGGCACGTTTGTTTCAGACATGGGTGGCTACAGAGAATGGCCGGAGGAGAGGAGAAGAAAGGAAGAAACAAAACAAAAAAGAAAGGAAGGAAGGAAGGAAGGAAGGAAAGAAGAAAGGGAGGAAAGAAGAAAGGAAGGAAAAAAGGAAGGAAGGAAGGAAGAAAGGAAAGAAGGAAGCAAGGAAGGAAGGAAGGAAGGAAGAAAGGAAGGAAGGAAGGCTGAAAGGAAGGAAGAAAGAAAGAAAGGAAACAAAGGAAGGAAGGAAAAAGGGAAGGAAGGAAGAAAGGAAGGAAGGAAGGAAGGAAGGATGAAAGGAAGGAAGAAAGAAAGGAAGGAAGGAGGGAAGGAAGGAAAAAAAGGAAGGACAAAAAGGAAGGAAAACAAGGGAAGGAAGGAAAAAGGGAAGGTAGGAAGAAAGGAAGGAAGGAAGGAAGGAAGGAAGGAAGGAAGGAAGGGAAGGAAGGGAAGGAAGGGAAGGAAGGGAAGGAAGAAAAAAAAGGAAGGAAGGACAAAGGGAAGGTAGGAAGAAAGGAAGGAAGGCTGAAAGGAAGGAAGGAAGGAAGGAAGGAAGGAAGGAAGGAAGGAAGGAAGGAAGGAAGGAAGGAAGGAAGGAAGGAAGGAAGGAAGGCTGAAAGGAAGGAAGAAAGAAAGGAAGGAAGGAAAAAAAGGAAGGAAAAAAAGGAAGAAAGGAAAACGGGAAGGTAGGAAGAAAGGAAGGAAGGCTGAAAGGAAGGAAGGAAGGACGGAAGGAAGGAAGGAAGGAAGGAAAAAAAGGAAGGACAAAAAGGAAGGAAAAAAAGGAAGGAAGGAAAAAGGGAAGGTAGAAAGAAAAGAAGGGAGGAAGAAAAGAAGGAAGAAAGAAAGGAAGGAAAGAAGAAAGAAAGGAAGGAAGGAAGGAAGGCTGAAAGGAAGGAAAAAAGAAAGGAAGGAAGGAAGGAAGGAAAAAAAGGAAGGACAAAAAGAAAGGAAGGAAAAAGGGAAGGTAGGAAGAAAGGAAGGAAGGCTGAAAGGAAGGAAGGAAGGAAGGAAGGAAGGAAGGAAAAAAAGGAAGGACAAAAAGGAAGGACAAAAAGGAAGGACAAAAAGGAAGGACAAAAAGGAAGGAAGGAAACAGGGAAGGTAGGAAGAAAGGAAGGAAGGCTGAAAGGAAGGAAGGAAGAAAGAAAGGAAGGCTGAAAGGAAGGAAGAAAGAAACGAAGGAAGGAAGGAAGGAAGGACGGAAGGAAGGAAGGAAGGAAGGAAGGCTGAAAGGAAGGAAGAAACGAAGGAAGGAAGGAAGGAAAAAAAGGAAGGACAAAAAGGAAGGACAAAAAAGAAGGACAAAAAGGAAGGACAAAAAGGAAGGAAGGAAACAGGGAAGGTAGGAAGAAAGGAAGGAAGGCTGAAAGGAAGGAAGGAAGAAAGAAAGGAAGGCTGAAAGGAAGGAAGAAAGAAACGAAGGAAGGAAGGAAGGAAGGACGGAAGGAAGGAAGGAAGGAAGGAAGGCTGAAAGGAAGGAAGAAACGAAGGAAGGAAGGAAGGAAAAAAAGGAAGGACAAAAAGGAAGGACAAAAAAGAAGGACAAAAAGGAAGGACAAAAAGGAAGGAAGGAAACAGGGAAGGTAGGAAGAAAGGAAGGAAGGCTGAAAGGAAGGAAGGAAGAAAGAAAGGAAGGCTGAAAGGAAGGAAGAAAGAAACGAAGGAAGGAAGGAAGGAAGGAAAAAAAGGAAGGAAGGAAAAAGGGAAGGTGGGAAGAAAGGAAGGAAGGAAGGAAGGAAGGAAGGAAGGAAGGAAGGAAGGAAGGAAGGAAGGAAGGAAACAAAGGAAGGACAAAAAGGAAGAAAAAAAGGAAGGAAGGAAAATGGGAAGGTAGGAAGAAAGAAAGGAATGAAGAAAGGAAGGAAAGAAGAAAGAAAGGAAGGAAGGAAGGAAGGCTGAAAGGAAGGAAAAAAGAAAGGAAGGAAGGAAGGAAGGAAAAAAAGGAAGGACAAAAAGAAAGGAAGGAAAAAGGGAAGGTAGGAAGAAAGGAAGGAAGGCTGAAAGGAAGGAAGCAAGGAAGGAAGGAAGGAAGGCTGAAAGGAAGGAAGAAAGAAAGGAAGGAAGGAAGGGAAAAAAGGAAGGACAAAAAGGAAGGAAAAAAAGGAAGGAAGGAAAAAGGGAAGGTAGGAAGAAAGGAAGGAAGGAAGGAAGGAAGGAAGGAAGAAAGAAAGGAAGGAAAAAGGGAAGGAGGCTGAAAGGAAGGAAGAAAGAAAGGAAGGAAGGAAGGAATAAAGAAAGGAAGGAAGGAAGCAAGGAAACGAAGGAAGGACAAAAAGGAAGGAAAAAAAGGGAAGGAAGGAAACAGGGAAGGTAGGCAGAAAGGAAGGAAGGAAGGAAGGAAGGAAGGACGGAAGGAAGGAAGGAAGAAAGGCGGAAAGGAAGGAAGAAAGAAAGGAAGGAAAAAAAGGAAGGAAAAAAAGGAAGGACAAAAAGGAAGGACAAAAAGGAAGGAAAAAAAGGAAGGAAGGAAAAAGGGAAGGTAGGAAGAAAGGAAGGAAGGCTGAAAGGAAGGAAGGAAGGAAGGAAGGAAGGAAGGAAGGAAGGAAGGAAGGAAGGAAGGAAGGAAGGCTGAAAGGAAGGAAGAAAGAAAGGAAGGAAGGAAGGAAGGAAACAAAGGAAGGACAAAAAGGAAGGAAAAAAAGGAAGGAAGGAAAAAGGGAAGGTAGGAAGGAAGGAAGGAAGGAAGGAAGGAAGGGAGGAAGGAAGAAAGAAAGGAAGGATGGAAAAAAAGGAAGGACAAAAAGGAAGGAAAAAAAGGAAGGAAGGAAAAAGGGAAGGTAGGAAGAAAGGATTAAAGGAAGGAAGGAAGGAAGGAAGGAAGGAAGGAAGGAAGGAAGGAAGGAAGGAAGGAAGGAAGGAAGGAAGGAAGGAAGGACAAAAAGGAAGGACAAAAAGGGAAGGAAGGAAAAAGGGAAAGTAGGAAGAAAGAAAGAAAGGAAGGAAGGAAGGAAGACAGGGAGGGAGGGAGGGAGGGAGGGAGGGAGAGTGTGAGAGAGAGAGGAAAAAAACAAGAAAAAAAGAAGAAAAAAGAGGAGCTGTTGCCAGCCTGTTGCTGTTGGAAAGCCTGCACCGCTAGGCCCCGGGAGTGTACAGAACACTAGGACAAGGTCTCTATGGCGCAGTGCCACAACGCTCACCTGTCCTTCGAACCCGGCCAAGGCAGCAGTCCCCATGCCGTCACGTGCTGAAAAGAAACCATGGGTTGGTTTCCCCCCCCCCCCCCAACAAAAAACTCCCCCCCAGCCCCCATAATCATCCCATTCCCATCCGGACCATAGCACCGAGCAGCATTCTTCCCGGAGGGTGGCCAAACACAAGCCCTCTGAGTCACAAAGCGTCCAGCCCTTCAGACGCTGATAGACCTCAGGCGAGGCCCGCATGGCAACCAAGAAATTTGGGGTGCCCAAAAAAACTGGTTGATTATAGATACATATGTGGCCATGGGTCAAAAACCCGTACCCCAGTGAACATCCCAATCCCCACTCAAATAGACTAAAATGGGCGGTGCACCTACCCCAAAATGGTACCATTGGTTTGGACCCACAGCCATGTATCTATCTAGAAACATTGTTTTTTGGACTCTGTATTGTATCTACCTTGACCATCTACATTTGGGACGTCTTTGAGGGAAACAACAGTCCCAGGCGCAGGAAGCTGCCAAACAACAGAGTGGGTTGTTCAAAGCGGAGGGATTCCTAATTCTGAGCAGTTACATGCAGTTGCAAGAAGGGAAGCCACAGCCGAAGGGGGGAAATTAGTCGGACCCCAATGCCATCGGGATTCAGCGAACGTACCCAGTGAACATCAGCTCCGGACTTTCCCAGCTCCCAGCGAGACAACACTCATAACAAACTCAGGGAGAACGCTTCTGTCCGCACAAATCGCCTGTTTGGCGTCAGCTTTCGGTAAAAATCATCACGGATCATCACTTTTGTTTGGGGGTTGGACTTGGGCTTCGCGGACCCACAGCCGGCATCTTTTTTGCAGAAGATTGCCAGGCCCTCTTTGCAGGTCTCGTCAGTGGCTTCCCGAAGCTTGCGAAGCTTCGAACGATCGACATGGCAGTATTGTCTGTGGCCAACCCTCGACAGGAAGCAAAGCATGCGTCCTGTTGCGTAAAGTGTAGCGGCAGAAAAGGCGGCAAACCGGTCAACTTGCCGCAGCCAAAAGTAATGTGCAACATGCGAACGCGGACCTCTAGGATACCACCCTTCTTTTTGCAAGAGTCCGACGGGCAAAGGGCACCGTCACTCGCTTTTGTGTATATGTTGCCCCGCCCCCAGGCATCAACACCTTCAACGCCATCTTGCGGCCTCTTTGGTGGGGCATCTCCCCACATCCTCCGCCACATTGAGGTGGACCTGGAAGTCCTGGCCAAGGAAAACGGACAGCTCAGAGCCCAAGGAATTTTGGTTCACTCCGGTCACGGAGAGGCTGGGGCAAGCTGAAGGATGTGGTGGACCCCGGACGTTGCAAGACCTTTGACCTCGTTTTACCCCAATCGACCAGCTGGCTGCTTCTCGAAATCGGGAACTGTCCAGCAAGTTCAAAAGGAAAGCGCACAGGCAGCCCGGCTTCTCCAAAAGGTAAATTGGGTTGTCTCAGGTGTAAGGATGAACCCATACAATCGCCCTTGCGAATTCAGGGGGTGCAGGCTGAATGCCCAACCCCAGATTAGGCTCAATGACTTTGAAAGTACCAACATCCTGCAAAAGTGCTCTGGGTTGAACCCGCTTCTCCCCCCCCAATCAAGTTCAACCAGTTTTCACATTTATGCTTGGCTCCAAGCGACTTCACCCTCGAATCTCTTGAACCCCTGAAACTGTGTACTGTGTATCCCAGGCTGATTTGGCCCGCCGAAATTCCCAACTCCCTCCCCCTCTAGTCGTTTCTGCCAAGAATCTCCAAGCGACTTCACCCTCGAATCTCTTCCAGGCTGATTTG